AAGACACGTGTCATCTTTCATTCTTGGCCTTATTCAAATAAGACAGTGGAAAAAAGCATGCGGTTTTTTTTGTCAATGAGTATTTTGCTTAACGAAAAACCACATATAATTGTAAAGTTGCCCATTTGTCTTCTTCTCTTTGCTTGATTTGGGATGATTTCTAGGGTACGTTTTAATAAATTGGGTGTCACTAGACTGGGCTCGTGGCTATGTTCTTTTTCAAAAGTTAACACTTTAAAATAGATAAAACACTCGCATCTTCTCTACCATGAAGCAACCCTGTATTCATTTGTGAATGGACCACCATAATTAAAAGGACAAAAACCTTAAAAAGCATACTTAGTTATAGGAACCGTAACATTTCTAAGTACATTTACTTATCCACTTAAATGATTGACTTCTTGAAACCCGAATATGAAAAATGAAACATATATTAGAACATGTATGTTATAACATAAGAACCCTATTGTGACGACAAAAATTGTCACTGTAGATTTTAGTACTGGCATAATAGACTTACAGTGAAAACAAACAGTCACGGTATGGTTTGTCACAACTATATAATATCTATAGGTAGCTATTTCGACGACATAGTGGTTCTCACAGTACTTCTGACCAATCGTGACGAGTTGTCCTTGCTATGTGATTTCTATAATTTATACTCAAAAACCCGATGGCTACTCGTTGTTGTAGGTTATATGCCTCTTCTTCTGAAAATCAAAATTTTAAATAAAGAAAAACTTTTATCAACGTTGTCGATGTATGATACCGAAAAACTCATCTCCACGACATAATTTCCCACCATTTAATTTATAACCTACTGCAACGATCTGTCGTTTGCAAATAGTAGTTGAAAAGTTGTGCGCGTTCGTCTGGTGATTTTGCCACCAAAAAATCTATCATATAAATAAGAGATAACTTTTCATCAGAATTGATAGACCTGTTTGATTCTCATAACTTAGAGTGTCGCTACAACGACCTACAACGATCAATACGTTGTTTTGTTGCTAGGGATCATTTTTGTAATTTATTAATTTCTAATAGGAATTTAAGTTAAGAAATAAATTATTTGTAATTATTTTTTGAGATAAAGATCAAGTCTGTGAATATTTTATTTTCAATTGAAATATATTGGGATCATTCGTTTTGGTTTGATTTACAGAAACTATATATAACTGCTTTACAAGTGTGTACTGTACAATAGATGTGATCATTTGCGGGCTTGGTCCGGGCCTGGACCGAACCTAACTTGTTTTTTTATCCAACAGGTTTAATATTGTAAATGCAAACCCTTTTTTTTGGGATGGACAACTTGCCACTGTCCGCCCTATGAATAGGCCGAGCTTGCCCACAGGCCTAAAAAGTGTAAACTTATAAATCTATAAGCTTGATCACTAAAAATTAATCATCAAATGTGGAACCAAAAAGTAAAGGAAAAACATCGTTGTAATTAAAATTTAAAGCAACTAAAATGACACATGGATCTCAACAAGTGGAGAAGGAGATGAAAAATAAACAACCCCTTAGCCTTTTGGGTTCTTAAGAATAACTAAAGAGTCACATCATGTAACTTTAATAGTTTAGTTTTAAAATATACTAGTATAATTTTAATTAATGGTAAAAAAATATTAATTATAAAATATAAACGGACTTGAAGGACCTGTCCATATTTATTTTTACATTACCCATGTCCGCCCGTTAACTTTAACGAATAAACTTGGGTCCGTCCATTTTATCGATAATGGTTGTCCAAGCTCGTATTTCTAACGGATCAGATGAACCGGGTTTAATGGGTCGTCCCACTCATAAACAACTCTAATTTATAATATAATGAGTTTATTTTTCAAAAAACCCAAATTAAATAAAAAAAGAATGAAATTCATTCCTTTTTTATTAACAAAAATAAATATAATTTTACGTAACTAAAAGTAATCATAACATATTTGTGAAAATAATTTAAAAAAATAAAAAAGCCATTTAATTTTTGGCTTATTATTATTTTTTAAATAATAATAACGCATTTATATTAAAATAAATCATATCCATAATCATGGCGACGTGGGGTTCTTCAAGTAATTAAATCTAAAAATTATTTTTCGTTATTTTAAGAAATCAAAAAAAGTATTTTTTATTTTAATATAAAAATAAATAAATAAATAAAATAATTGAAATAAACATCATTAAGATACAACCAAAAAGTTTATTTATTCGTTTATTATATACAAAACATTGAACCGGTCTAAGGAGATTCTTCCATGAACCCAATCTTATGCATTTACTTTATTAATTATTTTGGATTAAAATAAATCATTTAAATAATTTAAAATTTAAAAATAAATATATATTTAGAAAATTTAAAACGTTTTTTTTGTCTCATATTTCACATAAATGGTAACAAAAATATGTGAATGGTTGGATGGTCAGATAATAAAGCTAAAATATCGTGAAAAAATATGAATGAAATGCTAAAAAGATTATTCATATGTGAATTATTAAAAAGTTCATTTTTAATATGAAAGACAACATATTATTGAAAATAAATATAAAGCATATACAAAAACCCTTAACAAAAAACAACTGCGAGATTCAGTTAAAAAAAGTGAAAAAAGGCTGCAGTTGCTGAATGATTTGGTACATGATGATTAAATAGTCAAAATGATTAAAAGACTCTCATAATATAGTGCAAAATGAAATATAGTTGTTTGATAATTGTTTACAATGAAATTATGACGCTTAATGGTTAAAATATAAAATCATTTTGCAGGAGGTTTTAAAATCATTAAGAGAGGTTTTTTTTTTTTTTTTGCCAAACGAGATTAACCATTTAACGATTCAGAGGTTGACTCTTAATGCAATTATTAATAGGTAAACAAATAACTCGTAAAACCAATAACCAAGCACCCAAAATACGACCAAATAACGTAAAGCAAGGCTGATGTGCTTAGAATCGTAGGTGTTCACACAATGAGCACAAAGTCCCCACAGTGGCGGTGCAAGTGCACGCCGACATTATGATCGCTTCAAGTAATAGAATGGTATAGTACCAAGATCGTTTCCACAGGGACTGAACTACTGAGAATCAGAGAGTTTCATGAACTTCTTGAGCATGTTTCAATTTGTGAATAAAAGTTGAGTTTTGTTGGTGCAAAACTTAAAATACAAAATAAACCTTTAAAATTAACAGATGGGTATGGGTGTAAGTTTCTCTTAAAAAGATTGTAAGAACAATATGATCAGAAACTCATGAGACTTCCATAAAAACTCTAATATATCGAAAGTGAATTTTTATATACTGTGCCCCACAGAGTGCCCACAAAGTGTCCACTTTTATCAGTTTTAAGCTTGCCAAATTAGCTAAGTGATAAAAAAATATCTGATTCCACTAGCCTGAAGATTTTTACTCAAATCTCTTAGTAGTATAAATCTCGATTAATATTTGAACATTAGCTAAAACATGCAGAATCCGTATCTCTACGTGATTATCAAAAACTCTCTCAAATCTTTGTACATCACTTAAGCCGTATTTCAAATCCGTCAATCACTGGATCAATGATATAATATTAACACTTAAAAGTGACCGGCTTATCCGCGTTGAGCTTAAGTCCCGACTTAAAGTGACTAAGCTTAAGAATTAATAAAAAAAATGGCAACACCCAAGTATGCCTTCAAGTTCTTAAGTTTAACTCACACCCACACCCAAGGGGGTGATTAACTCATAATGAAATTACAGAACATAGAAGAAGAAGATGAATGCATAAGAAATACTTGAATTGAAATTTCACTAAAACCGTTGCCCACAGAGGGCATACAATGCACATAAACGTTACTGAAAATTAAATATGAGAAAAGAAATATATATAGAAAGTTAAACTTGCTCTACTGCTCCAGATCTTTAATTGAGAGCAAATGCTTCAAGATGATGTCTTCTAAATGAGAGTAAATGCTTCAATTTATAAGAGAAAAGGGAGAGATGAATATCCCTTTTACCCAAAGGAAGAAAACCTTCTTTAATCTAGAGGGCAAAGACGTCATATCACTTTTGTAAGCTTTTCTGGCATTGTCACATTTTTTGAAATATTGAAAAAGGTAATGATGATTTTCCCTTAAAATAAGGAAAAAAAGGTAGAGATGACATTTCACTTAAAATAAGGAAAAAGTAGAGATGACATTTCACTTAAAATAAGGAAAAAGTAGAGATGACTTTTTCATTAAAATAAGGGGAAAAACACTTTAAGACATTTTTTATACAACAAGGCTCATTTCTTTAAATATTGTGAGATTTTCGGATTTAACTGCATAATTAATTCTCTTAAATACCCAGAAAAACAAGTATTTAAATTTATCCAAATTCGTTTTGAAGAAAATACCGAAGTGAGCAGAAAATGAGCAGACAGTGGACATTTTTTCAATAGTGACGATTTTTCATAAAATAATCAAATCTTTGACTTTTCATCAGCTCTTAAAACATTTTAGACCAAAAATACAAGATAAAAGTAAAGTGGCTACATAAAACACATAAAAATAGGAGTATTGAACAACAAATAACTCTCAAAATTGAGAGTTATCAAAGGCAAACCGCCAATAAACTGCATAAAATCTCTATGAATAATTTGTAACCTTAATTCACGTCCTTATTTTTTAATAGATTTTTTTTAATGATTCACGGATAAATTTTTCTTTAAAACCAACAATGAGTTTAAATTAGTTATTATTTTTTCAATATATTAAATAAATATAAATTTTATCAAATATTTTAATGATGATTAAAGTTTTTTAATTAAAAAATAAAAAAAAATTTGACTAAGAAAAAGTAAATCCAAATGTTTGCTTTTCCTTAACAATCCTCCAAATCAAGGTAATATGTGATGAGTCATCAATTAAGGTGCACGCGTGCACCCGCACGTACGTTTTCATTTCCACAAGTATATTTGTCATTGACCAATAATATATAACCCCCAACCAGCTCACTGGAAACCACCAGAAACCACCGTTTTTTCTCCATGGACGTCATCCTCTCCGCCGTGGTACTCCTTTTCTTCACCTTCATCTTCATCTTCATCAACAAATGCCGCCGGTCATGGATATCATCATCATCGCCGGTAAGAAGTATGCTCTTAGGAACCATGGGATGGCCATTCATCGGCGAAACTTTAGATTTCATCTCCTGCGGTTACACCGATCATCCTCAATCATTCATGGATAAACGTCGTCTTCTGTAAGTTCCAATCAATGTGATTTCGTTTCATTTTTTGCTCCGATTTGTTAAATTTATTGATTTTTCTGTTCATCGATCGATAGACTTCGTTTTGCGCGAATTAAAACGAATATCAAATTTGAAATCTGAGCTTCACTCGCAAAACTGAAATAAAAAACTTTGAAATCCGTGTTTGAATTGTTCGATTAGGTATGGGAAGGTGTTCAAATCGCACTTATTTGGTAGTCCAACGATAGTGTCGACAGATGCAGAAGTGAGCAGATTCGTATTACAAAGCGATGCAAACAGTTTTGTGCCATCGTATCCAAAGTCGTTGACGGAACTGATGGGAGAATCGTCGATTTTGAGAATTAATGGAAACTTACACCGGAGAATCCATGGACTCATTGGTGCTTTCTTCAAATCTCCATATCTGAAAGCTCAAGTGACCTCTGACATGAGAAAGCTGCTTCTTCAATCCATGGCTACTTGGAAAGAAGATCGTCCTATTTACATTCAAGATGAAACCAAACATGTATGCTACTTCTATCTCCCTACCAATACATACACACACACATATATATATATATACACATACATATATATACATACACACACACGAGAACATATATATACATAAATACGAATAGTAAACAAGTTAAATAATAATAAAAACAGTCGATTTTACATAAAATCACGTGTAAAATCACATATGATTCATGCTAACAGCGATGTGAGATCATAGGACACGATGCCCATATACCTTTAATTTGCGTTAACTATTAATGTAAAGTCACATGTGATTTCAAACATAATTTAACCATTCTCGTGTTTTTGTTGTTGTTTAAACCTCCAAAATTTTACTTTTTCTTCTATTCAAGAAAAGAAAGCTATGTTTTCAGCCATTAAAGTCCATATTGCAAAACCTTTTTTCCATGTGGTTCAAGATTCGTAATTTCTTTTTTTCAAATGGTATTTGTTTTTATTTACAAAACTAGATTTTAACGAATAATACTGAAAATTGATAATCAACGGCTAATAATTTATGTTTCATGTATGGTTGTTTACCAAACTTTTACCAATAAGACCATCATTTTTATTTATCTTATTTGGTAACAATATCCGCTATCAAAATAGATTGTTGGTAAATGTATTTATCCAATAGGTGTTTATCAGGTAAAAGTCTTCTTCATCGTTTTCGATGTATTTACTCACCTGGAAAGTAAGTGACACTCTATAGGTGCTTACCAGATATAATCATTTGGTAAATGCTTCCTTAGATCGCAAATAATTTATTTTTCTTTGTAAACCACGGTTTTTACGGAAATAACCTCTTTATTTCTTTAGGTAGAGAAAAGATTACTTAGATTTTATCTTAATTCACATGGGATTTAATAAGTCCGTTTGATTTTGCTCATAGCCAAACAGAAAAAAATGTATGGCTTAATTTGAAAAGTATATCTTAACTAACGTAACGACTCGTTTTATTGATTTGCAATACAAATTTGTCTTTATACATGCATTATTTTATGTACTTGTATATATTTGTTTGATTGTAATTGACTTATTGATCCTCCATCTAAATCTTTCTTTATCGATCGTTATTATTTTATATATAAAGCTTTGCCAAACTTCTGCCCATATTTTCTTAATGATCGACCATACTATTAAAATATGTCTGTTGCTTCAATTCATTTGACCATGTTTACATTATTTTCACATTAATTTAATTTACACTTAAAAAAAGATTATATATCAGACCAAAAAGCCTTTGTCTTAACGGTATTGTAGTTCTTGACCTTCTAGGAGGTCAAAGGTTCAAACCTCACCAAATGTAATAATGGTGCTTGAGCTTATTTGTTGCATTTGCTGTATATAAGTATTATATACTTAAAAATGATTATATATCAGACAAAATAAGATTTTGTATTGTAAAACTAATTGATGTTTATTACATAAATGGTTAAATGTACGAAATAATAACCTATTTTTTTTGAAATTATTTTATTATAATATTATACTTTTATTTTTATTTTTACAACAATGTATTCTCAAAATATTTTTTATTACGATATTATATTTTAACCCCTTATAACAATGGATAACCTGCTACTTTTTTAAATAAGTTTTTTTTACTATATGATTTAAATGAGGTGATAGATGACACGTTATTCTTATTAAAAAGGTGTGAATTTTTAAGTATTTTTTTGACGATTTGTGGGAAGAAAAAACAAAAGTTGTTTGTTTGGGTAGGGAAAAGCGATTTAAGCAAAGAGCAAGTTACAAAAAGTAAATGTAACTTTTGATTTTTCTCAACACTTTTATGGGATAAAGCACATAGAACCCTTATTATTGGTTACATAATCATTATAAATTACTTATTTTGTCTACAAATATCACCACCATATGGTCCATGTTATTAATCATATGTTCCCTCCCTCTTTTACATGTCGCTATTACAATTTCCGATTTTCTACCATCGTTAATTTCTCATAAAATTAATTCATTGAAATTTAAATTGAATTATTTAGTGATTAATTAATTGCCATTGATATTTGATTATTTTTCAGATCGCATTTCAAGTGCTGGCCAAAACTCTGATCGGGTTGGATCCGGGTGAAGAAATGGAGTATTTGAGGATCCAATTTCAGAAATTTGTTGCGGGTCTCATGTCGTTACCGTTAAAGTTACCTGGAACTCAACTTCATCGATCGTTACAAGCCAAGAAGAAGATGGGGAAATTGGTCTATAAAATTATTCGGGATAAAAGGATGAATGTTTCACCTGATTCTAGGGATGTGGCTGATGTGTTGCTCAATGATAAGAGCGAAAAGCTAACTGATGAATTGATATCTGATAATATGATTGATTTGATGATTCCTGGAGAGGACTCAGTGCCGTTACTTATAACTTTGGCTATCAAATACTTATCAGATTGTCCAAAAGCTCTCCATCAACTTAAGGTACTTAATTACATCTTTAAAGTTCATAGCTACAATTGTGACTGTTGCGGTGTCACATCGACTAGACTAGTAGACTTGGACTATTTCTCCATTGTATATGTTGGAACATCTCTTCTCTCATCAAAGTCTCCACTGGAAAGTAGTTTGGGGTTCCATATATTCTCTTATGGTATCAAATCTACCGTTATAGGGACTCGACACGTTATGACAATTTGTACTTGTGTAGCCCTCTCGTTCGCCTATCCCCCTCTCAGCACGTTGGGGACATCTGTGCCCGTCTAGCCGTCTAGCATCTGTTGGGTGAAGTGTGTTAGAGTCCCACATCGGTTAGAAGTGGACCGTTTCTCATATGTATTGACATGATATGATAACATTACAAACTAATTGAATTCATTAAATAGCTTGTTGCATAACCTTATAATTAAGAGACGTGGGTGATTTGTTAATAGTTGCATTTGGTATTTAATCAACTTTTAGGAGTTGTGATGATTATAATTCTCCATAATTTTCCTTTCATAATCATTTGCTTACCCACTTCATTAATGATCATGATTATTAGGAGGAAAATTTGGAGTTGAAGATGCGTAAAGAAGACCTCGGGGAGCAATTGTGTTGGGATGATTACCTATCGATGCCATTTACACAAAGCGTAAGTTAAAGCTAATTAACAAACCATTGATTAATCTTTGCTTTCACTTCACTTGCTTCATATCAACCCGAACCACCACCCATACTGACCGGGGTGTCTTTATGCTATAGTGTATATATAAAATGGTTTTGTTAATTCATTAAAATAAAATGGCTATGCATAGCTCACCCCTATTTGTGTGGTCCGTGCTAGTGACAACATTCCCACACCATTTGACAACTGAAGACTTGATTATTGGTATATCGATCGGTCCAGCCGTCATATACGAGATTAGACTTAGTTCGTTGTTGTTTGATGTACAGGTGATTACAGAAACCCTAAGAATGGGGAATATAATAATGGGGGTGATTAGAAAGGCCATGAAAGATGTGGAGGTCAAAGGCTATCTTATACCAAAAGGATGGTGTGTATTGACTCATTTCAGATCAGTTCATCTTGATGAAAATTACCATGAGTCTCCTCACCAGTTCAATCCTTGGAGGTGGCAAGTAAGTGTGTTTGTGTGAGTGTGTGTGTCTCTTTCTCTCTCTCTCTATATATATATAATATATATATATTAGTTGGTGTACTAGTACATTTTGTGTATATATAGACACATAATCATTTACAAACCATGTATATAAACTAGTTCACGTTTAATTTGTATGTAAAAAAATAGTCATGAATGTTTCACATATTAAACAACACTGTATAATTATCACACGTGTTCTTTAATGTATGAAACAACTCATGAAAGTTGATTTGTAAGTTTAAATGAATTATTGGATTTGTAAAAGAATGAGACATATATACTCTCTCTATATATATCATCAAAGTTTTATAAAACATTAATTGTGGATGTTTAATTTGTGGTAAACAGGAAAGGGACATGAGCAGTGGTAGCAGTAGTTGCTTCACTCCTTTTGGTGGAGGGCTAAGGCTGTGTCCTGGGCTTGATTTGGCCAGACTTGAAGCCTCCATATTCCTCCACCACTTTGTTACCAAGTTCAGGTAATTAGTTAATAATTAAAACATATATATACCAAGGGTACAACGGTAATTTCACTACCTATATATAGATAAAACTGAAAACCCGTCCTCCAAACGATGAGAAAATTATATACATACATATATATATATATATATATATATATATATATATATATATATATATATATATATATATA